AGCTTCCAGCAAAAGCGACCGATTTTGGGGCATCGCCCTGCTACTAAACCCAGCCTCCCCGCCCCGTGGGGCAGTGTCGGAGGGGAAGGGCACGGCACGGGAGCTCTTGGGCTTCTCTCGGACGCCACGGTCCCTGGCTCTTGCCTGGTGGACCGAGTCCCCAGCGTGGCATGGCTCTGTGGTTTGGTGTCCTGCCCGTTTCGGGAGGCGAGCTCCCGGGTGAAAGCGATGGCCGGGGAGAAGGAGCGCGCGGGGCTGCGCTCTCCATCCTGGTCGAGTGCCCGGGGGTGCGCAGGGGGCTGGAGAGCCCACCCCCCTCTGCGGCTCAGCCTCCCTGCACTTGCCTTTTTTGCCCATTAGCATCATCTTGCCTAATGAGCTGCCTCCCCAAAAGGCATCTGAGTGTGATCAACCTGCGGCACCAGGTCCCTTGGAGCTTGGATCCCTTTCCCCCTCCCCAGACTATTTAATGGGGAGGGGACCGCCTTGCCCTTTCCCCCCTGCCCGAAGGATGTCGGCTGGTCTGCCGCCCAGGTATTGCTGTGATTATACCTAATTAGCAATCACCCGGCGAGCGGCACAAAACCCCCGTGTCAGCAGTTGCGTTTCCCCATCCCCTGCGCAGACAGCAGCCTCGCGGCGCGATGGAAACTGCGACAGGGTTCAGAGATACCATCTCCCCTCGGGAGCGGTCATGATTTTTCACTGTAAGTAGTCTGCCAGTTAAAACGTGCAGATAATAACATGGCGCGCGCAGCCCGCTGCGAGGAGCACCGCTGGCTCTGCGGCACGAGGCGGCCGCTCTCCTTTGCCTGTCGGTCGCCGGCCAGCAAGGTTGAACGCCGACCTTGGGTGGCTTCGGTGATTTTCAGTCAGAAGTGAGAAAATTGGGAGAGATGAGAATAAAAATGTGTCTGGCGAGTGTCTTACCACAAATCTTGCTGGGGGGGTTGCATGTGCACACTCCGCACAGCAACCGACTGCTGGCCAAGCCACCGAGCGCTTTGTGGTGAATGGAGGGTGAAGAAACGCTTAGAAATGTTTAAAAAGTTGGGGGGTCCAGCTGCCCTCCTTAAATATTGCCTTTGCCATCCGGGCTTCCAGCATGAGGGTTTACCTGGAGGTATGTAACGTGGCCAGGCAGCTGCTAGAAACCCGTATTGTTGGTGTCTTGGGAGCTGAGTGTAGGTAAAGGCCAGGTCTGAGGCGTTTCGGTTTAGGTATTTGGCCAAATTACGATTTATTTTCGTAGCTCCCCATCTATCAAAATCCGGGAGCATCCAGCCCTTCTCCTGCGGCTCTCCGGCAGGGAGCGGCGTTTGAGGAGGCAAATCGTCGAGCTGCTGGGGTGCGTGCGGTAGCTGTTTTTGGGGTAGGTGGTGGTCAGGAGGAAGGCTGAGGTGGAAGCTGAGAGCTGCGGGTCATGGCTCTTGCTCCCAGCTCTGGAAACTGTTGCTGGAGACGTGCCGGAGAGGTTCTTTCTCTGCGGCACAGCTAGATGGTGCGGTGGGCTGACAGCGAGGGTCGCTGCCCCGCCGTGACGCTCCTGTCGACTGATTCCTGCCGCTTTTCTCTCCCATCGACACACGTCCAGCCCTTTCCCGGGCTCTTTGGCGAGGGCACTATGTCTGTTCTTACGACCAGGCTCTGGTTTGCGTGTTTTGCAGTCTCCTCCCCCACCGTCGGCAAGCCCTACAAGTGCAACTACTGCGGCCGGAGCTACAAGCCGCAGAGCACGCTGGAGGAGCACAAGGAGCGGTGCCAAAACTACCTGGAGCGTCTG